GTGAGGGGGTGGCTTTTCCAGTAAGTTTAAATAAGCCATAATGCTTGCCCCTTCCAACATAAATTGACGTGTTTTTGGATTTTTCCTAAATACCAGTATTACAAAAGTTATTAAAGGTGGATACTTTTATCTGAAAAGCACTGTATATGCTGTTCACATTTATTTGCTTCAGTTTCTAATTCATTGATTGCTTTGACTGGTTTTCATTTTGTGTATTACTTATTAATCTATCGTCTGTACAAGCAATTATTTGTATGCTGTGTAGGAGTATGGTTTTTCTATTAGTATATGTTTTCTCATCAACTGTTCTAACTAGGTAGAATAGTATAGGAGATAGGGGGTACTCGTATCCTTTCATTATTCAACAAGTGTAAACTTTCACGGTTTTTTTGGCCGTGGTCTGCAGATTTTTGTACCTGACGTTTCGTCTACTACTGCGGTAGACATAATGAAGGCGATGTGGTAACGGTCGCAGTGCTCGAGTTGTTTTCAACGCAGAAACTATAATATTCATCTTTTCGTGATTCCAATGTAGACCGACCCGCTGTTACGAGGGATCCGGTATACTTCTGGTGTTGCTGAAGGCTCTTTGGGGTCCTTAGCACATCTTAGACTCTCTCTGATATTTTTTGTTGGCCTAAATATTGGTTTCACGTCGTCTTTCTCTAAAATTCTCTCAATCCGGTATCTAACTCAACATAGGGATAGCTTTTCCCTTGACTAGCCTAGATGGGGTTACTTTGGTGTTCTATCTCCTGGGTCGTATGACCCGCTCGAATTCTCTTTTGCTGTACCCATTCCCTTTGATAGCATTTTTTGGTGATTGGGTTCCTCAGGAAAACTCTCAAGTTCACAGATACGTCGGGCCCTCTCAACCATGTTTTAATTACCCCTCTCTTTTGTCGTGGCTGGTGGTTAGAGTTTTCAGAGTTTTCATTCAGGTATAGTTCAAATAAACGATATAGTGCCACCTACCTTCCAACAGCTCACCTTCGAACTATAGTTAGGGAGCTAACTAATTTCGTTATTCATGATCATTTCTGATTATATATGAATAACAAAAACTATATAATATATATCGAGGACCACCTGCCCGGTACTGACGATGTCCAATAGGCTGAAACAGCTGTCTACCGGTGTCCAATCTCCATATAGTCTTTTTCAACTGAAATTACTTTTTAATCCTTTTCTGCCAGTCTTCTTCGGTAATATTAGATACTTCTTCTTAAACTAGATCTATCACCTTCTTATCAAATTTTGGAAAATTATTTTTACGCCTGATGCTTTGTTTCAATTTTCCCCAAATCAACTCGATGGGTTTGAAAACACAAAAATTGGGGGGAAGTCTCAGTATGGTGTGTCCATACTTTTCAGCAATACTCTCAAGGGCATACACTTTTTCAAATTTTTTTGTCTGTTTCAAGTAGTTGGTTTTTGGTATAGTTATCTTCAAAATACAAATTGTTGTCCATTAAAACACTTTGTATTTCATTTTCCTCAAATTTAATTTGGCACTTTGATGAGCTGCCGCGAGGGATAGGAGGCGTTGTCAAGAACTATTACACTATTCGCATCCAAATTTGGGATCAATGTATTTTAAACCATTCCTCGAAAATATTAGCTTCCATGTTATTAGCTTCCAAGTTTTTTTCCACATAATTTCAAAGAATTCGGAACCCATCCTTTACTTCCTCCGCAATGCACAATGATTAGTCGCGATCCTTTGTTTGCAGGCATGTTAGGCGTACACATTCTCGAACAATCAGTCCACCCTTTCGTAACTGTGTCGTGAGTGTCATACCAAGTTTCGTCCGAAGAGAAAATTTGGCGTTATTCTTGTCTATATTTAGTTATTCGTTCTATATATTTGTTACGCAATTCCACTAGTATTCTGCTTTCCATAACTGACTGACGTTTGTTAAATCTAAATCCTAGTTTCTTCCTCCAATTCTGAAGAGTTTGTCACAGCAGCTCACGTTATGGCCGGAAGTATTCAATTTCTTCCTTATGATTTCAGTTATAGGAATCCCATTGCTTTTCTAACAGTCGTATATTGTTTTTTTCAATGATTTCATTATATAACATCTAAAGGTCTTGGTAATCCTGTATCACATCGCGTCTTGCGTTCATAAGGTTTGTTTTTGACTATTTTACGAACAGTTGAGAAAGGAATTTCAGTCAAATCTGATGTTGCTTGTAATAGTTTGTTTCCCTCAAAACCAAACTTGAGATGTAAATTCTTATATACATTGAAACAAACTCTCTGTGTTTCAATATTCAAATGCATCCGAATCTTATTCACTAGTATATCTTTTTCTTATTGTTCACCATCGCTATTAGAATCACTACACTGGAAAAAGTCTGCGTTGTTATCACACTCGTTATTACCATTAGTACTTGTCCAAGGACGCCATATTTTAAACAGGTAACAACAATTTCAAGTAATTATAACTGCACCAATATCGAATTTCAACAATCAAATCGCGATCAGTTCCTGAACTGAACACGACGGCGATAACCATCCCCGCATTCCCTGATTTCTATTCGTTACCGTAACATTATTTCAAATTCAATTTTATGACTCTTCAGCCAATCATAAAACTCGCTTAGTAAAGATAATCCAATACGAACCGCCAAGTCTACAGTCCAAGTGGACTAGTTCGCTGCCGGTTCATTTCTATGTATTGGTTTTTTTGGCTTTTGAGAGTGCTGCCAACTTCAAGAGTGCACAATATCGTTTACTTCGACTATACCTGCCTGTGTGTGTTGGTTTTCTGTACACTATAAAGCCTAATGTCCCATCTTCAGGTATGTTCACATAAACATCCAATAATGCTATAGTTTAAATTAAAAGGGTTTCTCGTTCCATTGTGAATTGGGTTCTTGGTTGGATTAGGTTAGGTTAGATATAATAACAAATCGTTCAGTGTCTCTTCACGATCTTATCAGTTTTTTCGGTGTTTGAAGATTGTTTGATGCATTCATCATTCTGTCGCTGTCTGTACTGTCAAATATTCTTCTGAAGCTGCTAAACATTACATGAAATACATTGTGTCGGTTGAATTTCTATCAGTTTTGTTGGGTTTATTACAGTGTGTGGATAGCATCGCTGATCTTCCCGATCTGAATCCATTTTGGTAGTCTCCTTTTCTCCTTTCTGTCCAGTTCCCAATTTCTTCAGTTTATTATATCCATCAATATTTTATATCCGCAAATTAGGAGCATGACCATCAGCCTGTAGTTTTCACACATTTCTTTGTTTCCTCGCTCATATGTTCGCGTTGCTTCCATGTCTGTTACTCGGCATATTCATGTTGTTTCATTGACGTCTTCATATTCCTTCAGCGAATATTTTTTAGGCTCCCAGTCCCCAGAGAAAAAAGGAACCCCCAACAAGAGAAAATAAGCTCCGACTCTTTCTGAAGAGATCTTCAGAACCCCTGTTAAATTTGCAAAACACATCTCAACAAGTAAGTCAACTCTCCATTGTTCCCAGTAAATTTTTTTTGCAACCAGTACGTGAATCAGTTCAAACAAATATTGGAGGTGGATTATTCATGAAAAATAAGTAGGAGAAACAAAGTTGCTGTTTTGCCACAACTTTGTTATATGATAGTTTGTTTCTCAATATTTCAACAGAAGAAATCCTGGCCCTGGCCAAATAAGAAGTATTAAATTTTTTATTTTTTTCATAAAAATTTGAAGAGACAGTTTTCAATATTCAATTGTACTTTGTTCTTCTTAGTTTTGGGATATTTCGAATGTTAAACCACAGTTTATTGCTTTTATTTGCTGATAATAATAATAAAAAGAATTTATTTGAATTAGGATTCCCTAATATACAGGTTAAAATATGATATAATCAGCACATTTTATATAAATAATACAATTTTATATACCTACATACATTATTTGAACTGAACAAAAAGAAATATTCAATTTCCATCATGAATATATTTCAACAGTTCGCTCTTGAAAATCTCTAATGATGGATTTAATTGAATCCGGTAAATCACTAAATCGGACAAAACCTTTGAAGAATAAATTGCTCATAATATTTCTTGTATTTGTTCTATTTATATGAATGTAGAATGTAGAATGGTGATGAATGTCCTTATTGAAAGTTATTAATGATAGCAAGTATGGACGATGTTTCGCCGTAAGACACTTGCCCTAAGGCTCTTCACTACCAAATTGGATAACATTATAGAAAATACACACACTTCATTCATGAATTACGATTTTTTAATGTCACGGAATAAGCTTGATCTGCTTATGTCATCCATGACATGGTAATGACATTCATTCACCTATTTGATTTAATCCCAGCCAAGAGGAATCTTATTTGAATTGAAGGGGTTATATTTTTAGGAGTGATTAAGAAAGAAAGTTTTTGGCTTTCTACTACTCCATCTTGATACAAAAAAAGGGGACGAGGGAATCTTCCAAAGAAAGGAAGGAAGTAATCAATTTGAAAACAAGTAACTCTATACATGAATGTGAAGATCATGAAAATAAATATATAAATGAAAACCATGGATCAATAGAATGATCTTTTGGATACTAAGAGCTATTGTAGAGCAGATAGCATGGTAGAAATTTGTGTATACCTATTAACATTTTAAAATTATTCTCATTCCTCGATTTTGTAGTTTTTGTATTTGATACACTTTGTTCAAATCAAAAGAGAATGAAATAGATGAACAGTAATCAATATGGAATTGGGTTATTGATTTATTTACGATAATAAAAGCAAACTCCTGAACAGAAATCAAATAAAATTTTTGGTGCACCCTGTGTGAACAAACTAATAGATTTTCAAATGAAGATTTTTCTCAAGAGAACGTTGAGCAAAAATGAATTTTGGAAAATATGATAGATGGAGACGTTAGCGACATAGATAAAAAACTTGTTACAAATTAGTTCCTGAACTATAGTAGAATTCCATAATGGTAGGCACTAAATTCTGAGAAATAATATTGCATTAAAACGAAATCATTGTTGTCAAGCTTATGACTCTATATATTTTTTTGTATAACTGTCATTAAATGTCACATTTTTAATGGTTGTCAAGAATATTAAAAGATGATGTTTACAAAGTAAATAGTGTGTTATAAATATTTTTAACACTGGTGTTTTTTTAACACGATTTTTTTCGACCAAATAGCAATAAACAAAACAATTTTTCAATTTTCAAGGAAGTTTTATTATGAACAATAGACATGGATGCATTTAAATTATGTTACAAATGTATTATATACATTAAACACCAGCAAGAACTTTCAATGTGACTTTAAATGAAACGCGTGAGCTGTAAACAATACTGTTTGTTGGTAATCAGGTTATTCGGCGTCACCTGACACGGCTACTTCACAGCAAATGCGATAACATGAAAATAGTCAACTGACAAGAGATATCAAAATATGTTTTTATAGAAATATTCAATTCATCTATTTTATTATGAAAACAGGACAGTTGTACAAAAAACTCTGTATGATATTTGTGTTAAAAGTAAGTTTTATTTTGTTCGTGAAATTGCTCAACTCGCTACGCTCGTTTCGCAAACTTTTTCACTCACAAAATAAAACCTTACTTTTAAAACTCATATCATGAATAGCTATTATCATTTTTCATCATCTGCTCAGTATAATTTAGGTACGCCACTACAGTGACAGGTATTTTCTGAGAATTTAGTCCCTACTATTTTGGAATTATAGTAAAGCAAAGTTTTTCTCTGAAATCAAATTGAATTTTTGTTATACTTCATCTCGTACTGGTTGCAGAAAATTTGCATCATAATACAAAGCTAGATTAGGATACCTGACCATTATGCATATGATGACATGTGTTATGTGTACATAGAGAGGCTACTCCCAGCAGCTGACACCCATCCAAGAGGTAAAACCAAATAAATTTCCTCTTCACAAACTGCCCGTCTATATGCTTGCGTGCCTGCGTTATCACCTAATCATTATATCACATTAGAGTGATTGAATAATTCAGTTACAACAGAAGGAAAGATAAGGTTTATTTTTTCATCACCTGAAGACGATTGTGGATACTAACAATCGAAACGTCGTGAAGTAACTTGGTTTGAAATCTTTTTTATTTTTGAATTTATTTTTTCATTATTTTATGATTTTTATTTATATTTTTTCATTTATTTTTCTCTGTGGTCATTCTCATTTTGTATTTTTATTATTTTATTGGTTTCACTGTGTAATTTTATTCCATGTTTCAATGCTTGATATAATCCTGAAGAATTATAATCATAAATCCTGGAGGATTATATCAAGAAGGAAATATTGAGAGCAGGTAGCTGTTGGTTCACAGATGGATCAAAAACACCTTCCGGTTCTGGTGCAGGTGTTTTCAGTCGCAGACCCAGGACAGAGATATCAACCTGCCTAGGAACTTATGCTACTGTATTTCAAGCGGAAATTTACGCTATTGAATTGTTTGCAGAGAGATTGAAAGAATCCAACCTCATACACAAGTCAACAAAAATATTCTTGGAAAGTCAAACGGTGTTGGAAGCTCTTGGCTCCTTCGAGCAACGTCTAAATTGGTAGCAAATTGACAAAAATGACTCTCCCCGATACGAAAATTCACCAGATTGTCTCTGGTCTGGATTCCTGTGGCCATATTGGCCTGGATTCCTGGTCATACTGGCCTGGAAGGCAATAAGGCTGCTGATTCCCTTGCAAAGGAGGGTGTTGCAAGCAGCTTCATTGGACTAGAACCTGTCATTGGCATTGCTTTAGGCTTTGCCAAACAAAGATTGAACACCTGGATGGCAAGAAGATTTATGGACTTCTGGCAGAATCTTCCAGAATTGGCTCACTCCAAGGCGTTTATTCTCCCTTCGAAGATTGATACCAAAAACAGTTGTTGGACTACAGTGAGGATGAACCAAGATCTCTAACAAGCCTTCTTACTGGTCACTGTCATTTGAATCATCATAACAGAGACTCGGACTGTCGGAAGAGAGTGTGTGTCGCCTCTGTTTGAAAAATGATGAAACATCAAAACACATACATTTTGCCTGCCCTGATGGGGACCAAATCAGGTTTTTAGAGTTCGGCAGTGCCGTACTTTTACCATCTGACCTAAAAGACCACTCACGCATACAAACTAATCGGCTTCGTTAAGAAGCTGGGTTTATTTGGACGAGTATGAATATAGTCAATTCAACTAGTTCAAAAACATGAAAAATAGAGATGAAGGTCCTGAAAATATGAGCTATAGCTCATTCGATTCGGAATCACCTCTAGAAAAATGTTTTTGAAGGATTTTGGTGCAGGTAAAAAATTGCAATTGTAATTAACAAAATAAGATTAAAAAACTCACTTTGATAACTCAAAAAATATTAATATTTAAGTAATTTTGAAAAGAGCTCGTTGGAGAGGAGTAAATTTCCGATAGATAAACGCAGGATTTTCCTTTGCTGCAGGATTTTACATTGTTGCAGCCTTTATTATAAAATCCTAGCACTGAAGAAACCTTCATATTTGTATAATAAGGTAAAATTCAGACTTGACCAGCACAATATCAATGTACGTAATAAAAATAATATTACAATTCCGAAACATAAAACCTCGTTGTTCAAATCATCATTTTTGTATAATATAGCTACCCTTTATAATGCTATCCCCAATGAAATAAAACAATTTTTACCTGCACCAAAATCCTTCAAAAACATTTCTTCTAGAAGTGATTCCAAATCGAATGAGCTATCGCTCATATTTTTAGGACCTTTACCTCTATTTTTCATGTTTTTGAACTTGTTGATTAGACTAATTAGACTAATCGGTGTGAGCCACAATAAACCTTCGCGAGTTGCGGTGGAGAGTCGAATAGACCCACTCACTTTTGACCTAACCTAACCTAATTGATAAATTAGCTTTTCATTTGAATTTTATTTGTTCATTCACAGATTTCAAATCATATTAGGCAACGGAAGTCCGAACTAGTAAACTTCACGATGAAACAGTGTCAAATACTTTCAAACGAACATGAAGTGTTTTGAAGTGACTCTTTGTATTGAAGTTACTTTTTTGTGGTAACTGAATTATGTAGCTATATAGTCATGAGAAAATGATTCTCAATTCCAGAGAAGAAACAGAGAAGTGTCATGAATTTGAATAGTATTCAATTTTTAATGCATTCGCTTGTGGCTTTATATACAAAGTGTCTCGAAAGTCATGAATCAAACGAAAGTACTACATGGGCTGAAAAGTCTTGGGTCTAATACATAGATGGCACTAGTCTACCTAATACTTACCTTCAAAGTGAGCTGTTGAAATTTTACGATATTCTATGAAAGCGTTGACTTGACTTGTATCTCAGAATTCTGACTTGTCAGAATTCTAACTTACAAGTCAGAATTCTGAGATGAAAGTCAGAATTATACAAATCGAAAAAAATATTTTTGTGTGGTCCTTCTTGTATAATTCTGACTTGAATCTCA